CCAAGGCCCCCCCAAGCCGCTCCGTGTCCCCCATATGCCGGGGCCCTGGGCCTGTGGTCCCGGCGTGAGGAGCGGCCGGGCAGGCCGCTGGAGGGAGGGTAGGCCCCGCTGGTCACCCCCTCGGGAAAGCCCGGCCCCCGGGTCTCGGTCTGGGTAGCTGGGAGGAGACGGCGGTGAGCAGCCCCCGGGGCAGAGCTGGGTGTGGAGGGTGAGAGCTTCCGTGTCTCCCGGCCCAGACTGTGCACCGGAGTCCTCTCACCTCGGCCGTGACCTCCACGACCCAGGGGCAGGCCTCGGGGAGCTCAGCCCCCACCCGCCAGGGCTGGGGGTGCTCAGTGGGCAGGGACGGGCCTTCGGGGGGCGCCGGGTGGGTTTCTGCTCAGAGGCTCCTGGAAGGAGCGAGGGGCCTGATGCGGGTTGTAAAGACCCTCCTGGGCACGGCCGGCGTGGCTCAGGGGTTGAGCATCGCCCTATGACCCAGGAGGTCACGGTTCGATTCCCGGTCAGGCCCGGGTTTTGGGTTCGATCCCCGGTTGGGGCATGCAGGAGGCAGCTGATCGATGACTCCCTCTCATCACGGATGTTTCTGTCTCTTTTCCCCCTCTCCCTTCCTCGCTGACATCAATTTTTTAAAAAAAAATTAAGTAAAAAAAGACCCTGCCGGCACCATGGTTTCCATCAGCCTCCCTCCTCGGTGGGTCCCCCGGGGGAGCCTCTGAGAGCCACGCCTTCATCTAGAAGCAGACACTCGGAGCCCTGAGGCCTCGCAGGCTGCTCGGAGAGAGAGAGAGAGACCGAGGAAGCCAGCGCTGGGTGAGGCTGCCCACTGCCCGGCCCAGGTCCTGGCCCCGGGGCGCAGCCTGCAGCCCCTGAGCTGTGGCTCCCGCCAGAGGCCGCGGGGGTCAAGGGCCAGAGGGGAAGAAACCACTTTCGGGGGCTGGGGTGGGGCTGGGAGGGTGGCCGCCCCACGTGCCAAGCACAGCCCACCAGCCCGAGGGAGGCCGGCGGAAGGAAAGGGGACTGGGCCATGGCCCTGGGCCTGCCGCCATGGGCACGGCCACCGCTCTGCTCTGTGGTCGCTGCCCTGAGACGCTCCATCATGTAAAAGACATATGTATTCTCATTCATTCGGAGAGGAAGGGAGAGAGGGAGAGAGCTAGACACATCCATGAGAAGAGAGAAGCATGGACCGGCTGCCTCCTGCACGCCCCCCCTGGGGATCGAGCCCTCCACCAGGGCCTGTGCCCTGACTGGGAACCGAACCCTGACCTCCTGGTTCACAGGTCGATGCCCAACCACCGAGCCTGTGTGGGCCGGCCCTCCAGTGCAGACACACCCTGGCGAGGCCTCTCCATGGGGCTCCTCTCACTGCTCCTCAGTCCTCCCCTGGGCCGGCCCCGCCCTCCTGTCCCACCACCCTCCGTCCCCACGTGACCCCGGCCGGTCCCTGGCTTCCCACCCACTCGGTGCCAGACTCCAGGTTCCTGCCCCCAGTCCGTCTCCCCTCTGACCCCTGTGCACCCATGTCCTGCAGGGTCTGACCGACCCCAGGGCCCTGCCTCCAGCTGAGCCCGCACCATCCATCGGAGCTGTCCTCCTCGCCAGCAGCAGGTCCCTCTGAGTGCCCCACCGGCTGCCGCTCGCTCCCCCCCTCCACTGGGTCAGCAGCCCCCTCCCCCTTAGGCCTGGCCCCTGCGCCCTCAGGGGCCTGCGGACCCTCCCTGACCTCTCGCAGCTCCCTCCCCCTCTCTGGGTGTTGGTACCTGCCATCCCTTCTCTGTCAATCACCCGCCTCGCTTGTGGCCCCGCCGGGCACTGCACCGCTGCCACAGGTCCCCCCGCCCCTGCAGGGCGCCCATCCTTCCCCCGTTCCGTGGCCACGTGCTGGGCCGGCCTCCGTCTGATGTGGGAGCCAGTGTGGCCTCGGCGTCCGCTCTGCTCCGCGTGCCCCTGAGCCTGGCTCAGGGCCGGGCCCAGCAGGTGCGGTAAACATTAGCCGGAGGAAGGACTGAATGGGCAGCGGAGGGCAGGGCAGCCGCCTCCTCCCAGGCTCCCGGCCGGCAGACAGTCCCGAGGAGTCCACGGCCAAACGGGAGGGGGCGGGGGCGCCTGTGCTGGGAAGTGGGGGCCCGTGCTTGTGGGTGAGGACCTGGTGGCTCAGAGCACAGGGATGGGCCGGGGCAGGTCCTGACCCAGGTCTCCTCCCCTCACCGGGAGCTCCGCCTTCCCGGCCCCACCCTCGGGGGCCTGGGTCCTGCCATGCCCGCCCCTGGGCCCTGCTGCCCTGAGGTTCTGCCCGGGGCCTGTCCGTTTCCTTCGCCTCCTTCCTGCCCACCCTGGGGCTCCAAGGCCGCCCAGGGGCCCGGCTCCCCAGTTTCCTTCCGGGGCCACGGGGAGCAGCGGCTATCTGCCTCCCTCAGAGTTCCTGCCCCCCGTCTGGTCAGCTCAGCGGAGGCCCTAGGCACCGGCTGGGGTGGGCGGCACGGGGCTGCCCTGCCCTCTCACCCAGGGGCAAGGCCCGCAGGCTGTCCGTCGCTGTCATCGCAGGACAGACACCCAGCCGAGGCCACACCGCGAGCCGGGGCCGCCCTCCCCGCGATTGGCACCCCACCCACTGGCCCCTGGGCAGCCTCCCTGGGCCCACCTGGTACCCAGAGCGCCCGGCATCGCCCTGCAAGCTCCTGAGGACCAGACCGAGGCGTCCCCTCCTGGGACCCCCGCAGACAGAGCAGCTGGGACGGAGGGAGGAACTCATTCCTGGGTCCCTAGCAGGCCCCTGGGACAGAGCGGCCGCGGGCACTGAGGGAAGCCCCCATGGGCAGGTGGGCTGCGTGTTCTCACCACAACCCCTGGTCTCACCCCCAAACTGAAAGTGTATGGGGGTGTTTTTTTTTTGGGGGGGGTTGGGGGGTACTGGCAGCCAGAGAGCCCGCAGGCCGAGGGCAGAGGTGTCCCAGGAGCCCAGGGCTGTGGGAGGGAACGAGAGGAGTTTGAAAGCAGACGCCGTGGCTCGTGGCTGAAGCACCACTCATCTGGGCACGGGCAGGCGGGCGGGCGGGCGGGCGGGCGGGCGGGCGTGGCCAGGCCGCCCGCACCACAGCCCCGGCCCCGAGACTCCCAGGCCGCACGGCTGTGCCCCCTGAGGTCCTGCCCAGAGGGACGGCAGCTAAACACCACCTCCATCCTGGCTGGGAGGGGGCGAGGTGGGGGGCTGCCCAGGTCCCCGGCCCTGCCCACGGGCCCAGGTGCCTGGACAGGTAGCCAGGCCGCCAGGGGCTCCCCGAAGCCCCTCAAGCTCTGCCCTGGGCCCCCACCAGCCCCTGGAGCACACAGCCAGCCACCCCCTTTCACAGCTCACATGCAATGGGGTCGCCCTTCCCCCAGCTCCCTCAGCCCCTGCACGGCCCCCACCCGCCTCTCCCGCCACACCTAGGGCTCCCCAAGCACCCCCTCTCCACTCTGCGCCCCTCAGACCCGACTGCCCCAGCTCCTGTGCCCTGGTCCGTTCCCCTCTGCCTGCAGTGCCCACCCCATCTGTGCCCGTGCCCTTCAAGCTCCAGTTCAAATGCCACTTTGCCCGCAGGCATGTCTGACCCTAGCCAGGGTCACCTCTTTGAGGTCCCCTCCTGAGACCCCCCACCCCCCACACCCACACTCAGGGTTGGGTTATCTGAGCAAAGACACTGCTCCCCTGTGTGTGGGGGGGTGGGGGTGGGGTTAGTCAGTCCCTGGAGGGCAGGCCCGTCCCCTCCCACCCCAGCGCCAGGCCCTGGGGGAGGGGGGTGCGAACGCTCAGTAAATATTTGCTTAATCGAATTTGGCCAAGGAGCCACCTCCAGACAGAGCCAGGCAGTGGGTCGGACATGGTCCCGGGGCAGGGAAATCGCTTGGGCAGGAAAAAAAAAGCCTGCCAGGGGCTGGGCCGTCTCCTGAAGGCCGGCCAATTTGGCCTCCCAGGCACCAGGCAGGCCCCTGCATCCTCAGACTGGGGCTCCCAGAAACCCGGGGTGGCCACAGAGCACCCCGGTTCCAGGCCCAGGGGGCCCCCCTGCATCCTCAGACAGGGGCTCCACCACGGTGGCCACGGAGCACCCCGGTTCCAGGCCCAGGGGGCCCCCCTGCATCCTCAGACAGGGGCTCCACCCCGGTGGCCACGGAGCACCCCGGTTCCAGGCCCAGGGGGGCCCCTGCATCCTCAGACAGGGGCTCCCAGGAACCCGGGGTGGCCACAGGCCCAGGCGGGCTCCTGCCTCACCCAGAGGCACAGCGCCGCCCTCCAGGCAGAGCCCCCCTCGGATCTCCCGCGGGATCGGATCCCCGAGCCCCAGCCCCGAGGCCCTGGCACCCCTCCCCCGAGACACCCCCACCGCCTTTTAAGGGGAAAAAAAAAATCGAGCCGGGAACGTAGCAAAATCGCAGCGATCGATACTCATCTTGCTCGGAACGCCTCGGAGAGGAGCAACCTGCTCGCTCGCTGCAAGAGCGATCGCCGAGCACGGAGAGCCACCGGGAGCCACCGGGAGCCACCGGGAGCCATCATCCGCTCGGCGCAGCCTCCGGGGCCCTCCCGGCTCCGCCAAGGCCACGCGCTGGCGCCCCCGCCGCCCCGCCGCCTCCCGCTCCCGGACCGGAGACCCGGCCCCGGCTCCGCTCCGGCCGCTGCGGGCGGGGGGCGGGCGGCGCGGCGTCCCCAGCGGCCGCGGTCACCCCCCGGCCCGCAGCCGCCCCCTCCCTCCCGCCGGCTCCCCGCCCGGGGCACCCCGTCCCCAGCACCTGCTGGGCCCGCGACACCCCGGCCACCGCCCTGGCATCGCCGCCCCCCACCCAGCCCGGCCGGCATCCCTGTCGCCGCCGCACCGGGCACCCCCCGGCCCGGGCGGATCCCGGCACAAAGGCCCGGGCGGGCCCCGTGGGGGCGGGGTGGGGCGGGGCGGGGTGCGGCGGATGCCCCGGCCGCGCCCCCGGTTCCCCCGGACTCCGCGGCCGCTCCACTCACTCACCTCAGGGCCGCGGCGCCGAGCATCCGCCGCGCGGCTCCGGCGGCGGGCGGGCGGGCGGGGTGCAGAGCGCGGGCCCGGAGCCCGGATCCGCACGGCGCGGGTGGCAGCGCCCGCGCGGGGACGTGATTGACCGCGGGCGGCGCACACGCTCCGGCCGCCCCGGCTCCCTCCGCCGCCCGCCCGCCGCCCGCTCTCCCGCGCCGCCCGCGGGTCCGCCCGCCCTGCGCCGCCGCCGCCGGCAGGGGGCGGAGCCGCGAGCGCAGCGCGTTGCCAGGCAACCGCGGGCGGGGGGTGGGGGGTGGGAGGTGGTGACCACCCGCGGGGCGCCGCCGCCCCACCAGCAGCGTTGGGTGGCTGCTCATTGGGCACGAGCGGCTGATGGACGTGTCCGCGGACCAATGGCGGCGGGAAGGGGCGGGGCCGCAGCGGGGCGCGCGCCGCGGCCGCGGCCGCCACCCTGTCTGCGCTGCGGGCGCGGGCATCCCCGGGACCCGGCTGCCCCGAGGCGCCCACCCGGTGGCGCTGCCCCTGGCGGATCGGGAGCCCGAGCTGGACAGCGGCCGATGGCCCCTGCCCTCCGCCGCCGGCCCCGGTCCGAACCCAGCTCGGCCTTTTCTGAGCTCCGCGACCTTGGGCCACCGGCCGACCTCTCGGGGCCTGTTTTGCAAAGTGGAGCTGGCGGCACCGCCCCCCTGGCTCGTCTAGACAATCCGCTAGAACGGAAAGTGGGAAAGGTGTGCAATCCTAAGGGTTTGCGCCCCCCAGGTTTGTGCGGCGATGGGAGGGGCCTCAGTCGGCCTTTGATCGCCCACCCAGCTGTCAGGGCCCCTGGCAGTTCTGACCTCGGAAGATGGATTGCCTTGGAAGGGGGGTGGGGGGACAGGAGTGTCCCCCAGACTAGAGAGGGGAGAGGGAGCCAGCCCCGGCAGGGCCCCAGTGCCGCCTTTGGGATGGAGGCGTGTGGAAGGCATGAGATGCTCAGCAGAATGCATCTGAGAGCAGTCTGCCCAGGTCTGCCTTCCGTTCAGAGAGCCCAGCTGTGGGGCTCTGCGCCCCTCACCCCTCACTCCTGTGTGTCCCTCCTAGAGCATCGCGGGTGAGGCGCAGGCACTCCCAGCCAACGCTGACCCCGTCGCTTTACACCCTCATGGTCATATCACAAGGAGCACCCCTCGCGTGGGCGTGGGAGCACTGGCGCTGACCGCTGGCAGAGGTAGATGGGGTGTTGGCCCCACCCCAGATCTGTGGTCAGGAGACAGAGGCGGGGATCTGGCTCTGCCCGCCGGACACCATGGCCCCAGCAGCATCCCGTGACCTCTCTGGTGCGAGTCCTCTGCTGTGAAATGGAGACCATGGCATTACCCACCTGTGACGGGGCCGCCTAGCCTGTCAGGGACGGGACAGAGGTTGGCGATGGGCACCCAGAGGTGGACCTAGGCCGGGCACAGTGCCGGCTGGGGGGATGCGGCTAGCCATCCAGGGCGCCTCTGTGCGTGTCCTCCCCGGCACGGCACCAGGCTGGGTTAGGCTGGCCCCTGCGTGCCCGCCCGTCCTGTGGACCACACGGAGGCCAGCCGCGGTGCCAACAGAAAGGCGGTGCCACAGGTCCTGCCTCGGGTGCCTCCGAGGGGACGGGGCCGGACGGGAAGCTCAGGCCCGGCTTTGCGGCCATGCCCTGTGCGCCCTCGGGCGATGGACCCGGCGGAGCCTCCGTTTTCTATCCAAAGGGGACACCCTAGAGCCGTGGTCGGCAAACCGCGGCTCTCGAGCCACATGCGGCTCTCGGGCCCCTTGAGTGTGGCTCTTCCACAAAATACCACTGCCCGGGCGAGTCTATGTTGAAGAAGTGGCGTTAGAAGAAGTTTCGGTTTAAAAAATGTGGCTCTCATTGGAAATTCCAATCGTTGTGCTGTTGATATTTGGCTCCGCGGACTCAGGAGTCTGCCGACCACTGCCCTAGAGCCGTGGTTCTCAACCTTTGTAATTCTGTGGCCCTTTAGTACAGTCCCTCGTATTCTGGCGACCCCCAACCATAACATCGTTTTCGTTGCTACATCACAACTGTAATGCTGCCGCCGTGGATGAACCGTGACGTAACTATCAGTGTTCTTGGGCTCCACGGCAGCGGTTCTCGCCCCTGTGGGTCCTGTAAGGCCCCCGGAGCTGGCGTCAGCCCCTCCCCCAGGAAGTGCCCAAAGCACAGCCCACGTGGGGGTCCCCCTGTGGACACGGTGACCCTCAGTCCCCGCCGAGCTTTCTGGCTCATCAGCTGCTGCAATCGCCCAGCCACTCGGAATCAGGGCCTCCCCGTACTCTGGTGGCTCCTGCCTTCACCCTTCAGCCCCCCGAGGCCCAGGTCCCCTTCGGGCCCCGGGGACCCTGGCGTCCCTCACCTCCACACGTGGCGACCTGTGCTGTGAGGACCGGTCCCCGCTGACGCGCCCCCTAGTGTCCGCACCCCGCCAGGCTCCGGCGGTGGTGGCTTGGTGCCTCTGGGCCTCTGAGATGGCCCCTTGCTGGCTGACCTGGCTGTGAGCCCCTCCTGTCCTGCCCCCTACCCCCTACCCCCTACCCCGGGCTGGCCAACTCTCAGGCTGCGAGGGGCCGGCTGGGCCCCTCCGGTGCGTCTCCTCGGGGTCTGTGCGCCCCCCACGCACCCCCTCGCTCGCCGCCGCCGATCTGGGTTAGTTATAAATAACCGGGCCCCGGCGCTCCTTTTAGCTGAGAAGCAGCAAAGTGAGCGAGCAGCGAGGCGCACCCGGCACGCGTTTTATTTTTAATTTCCTCCCTCCGCCTCAAAACAAGCCGGCCCCCGTGCCCGGCACTCTGCGGGCGGAGGCCGGGAAAGGAGGCCCGGGAGCCGAGGGCCCGGCCGCCCCACCCAGCCGCTGTGTGGCCCTGGGCACCCCAGGTGCCTCTCTGGGCCTCGGTTCCCTCACCTGGTGGTGGTGACCGCCCAGACCACTGCCTTATGTATTTATTTAAGCCCTCCCCCGAGGACATTGTCCCTCTGATTTTGAGAGAGAGGGAGAGACAGAGAGAAACGTCGATGGGTTGCCTCCTGCAGGTGCCCTGACCAGGGCCTGGGCCGGGGAGGAGCCTGCAACCAAGGTCCGCGCCCTTAACCGGAATCGAACCCGGGACCCTTCTGTTTGCAGGCCGATCTTCCATCCACGGAGCCGAATAGGCCAGGGCCAATATCGCGACTTTCTGACTTCGACCCGCCTCCCCACAAGCTGCTTCGCGGCCCCCCCCCCCCCGCCCTCCCGTGGCTCCGCAGCAGCCCCTGTCCCTGGTTTCCCTAGAGGGCCAGTCCCTACAGCCGGGAGGCCACAAGGAAGCCCTGACTGGATGGTGATGCCCACATTCCTCCCGCCCCCCACTCCTGCCCGGGCCTCGCTCACTCGCTCAGGTGCCAGCCGGGACCCTCTCCCTCATCAGCCAGCGGACGCCTTCCTGGGGAGTGGCATGGGCACCCCCACGGTGAGCTGGGCCGAGAGGGACCCAGGCCTGGGGCAGGGGAAGCACAGCGGGAGCAGGGGGCGTTGGGGGCGTTGGACAGGGGTCTGTCCGAGAGGCGCTCGTGGGGCAGGGCGTCTGCCTTTGTATCTCTCCCCTCCCCCGCCCACCCCCGCAGGATCTTGCTTGCGGCTGGGACCCCGGGTGGGTGGGATTCGGAGACAGTCCCTTGCACAGAGCCCGTTCCCACCTGCTGCCCCATTGGCATCGCGCAACCCCGACCAGGCGGGCAGTGAGGAGGCCGGGCTCAGAGAGGCCGAGCGCCTTGTCCGGGGTCACACAGCGGGCACACCGAGGAGCCCAACGTAGGCTGTTTTTGAAATGGTGCTCGGTGCACTTTAAGCCGTTAGGAAACCGCTCTTCCTGGCGTGGTGACCCGAGAGCAAATGGCTGCTCCTCCCCCGCCCCAGCTGGAAGCCGGCCGGAGGCCCCCCGGCGGGCGCTGCTGGCTCTGCCGGCCGCTGAAGGCCTCTCGCCCCTCTCACCCCGGGGCTGCCATGTGATGCCCTTTGAGAGCCCGAGGAGGAAAAGACGGGGGTGATGGCTTCAAAGAGGGAACCCCGGCGCTAATTGGCACTCGGAGACCTTTAGGCTAATGAACCTGTTTACTCGTCTCTGGAGTAAATTAGACGCGTAGCTGGGAGGCGGGTGAGGTGCTTGCCCGGAGCCCCTGTGGGGCCGCCCCTGTGGGGCCGCGGGTGAGCTGGTGTGGAGGCAGGGCACAGTGGGCTGCAGGGCACGGTGACGGCCACACCTGCGCCATGGGGCAGGGCTGTGCCCCCTGGTGGCATCCCGCTTACTGCCCTGTGTGTGTGTGCTGCTCTGGGCACAGGGGAGCTGGGCCCGAGGGTGCCACCAGGCCCGGCCTGGGTTCTCCTCCTCGGCAGCCTCGGCAGACATGCCCCAGGAGGGACTTCCCCAGCGCAGTGCCCGGCCATGACACCCGGGGCCCCTCCGTGGGACCCTTTAGCACCCCTTGGCTGAGTGCTCACCTATGAACCAGGAGGTCGGGCGCCGTTCCCAGTGTGGAGTGTGCAGGAGGCAGCCGGTCCATGATTCTCACTCCTCGTTGCTCTCTGTCTCTGTCTCTCACTCCCCTTCTTTCTCTAAAACCAATAAAAAGAGCGAAGCCCCCAGTCATAGGCCACCAAAGGCTGGTACTGTCCTGGGTGTTCGGGGACCCGCCCCTGCCTGTCACCCCGCGTGGCCCCGCGTGGGGGGCACGGCGCCCCTCAGTGTGATCTCCATCCTGCAGGGGCCAAGGGCATCGTCTACAGCGGCCTGATCCCCTCGCTGGTGCGCAAGCTGCACCGGGAGGAGGACAGCATCCAGGCGATCCTGCTGGACACGCTGGCCGCCTGCCTGCAGGAGGACGCCACCGAGGCGCTCAACAGCCGTGTGGTGCCCTTTCTCAAGGAGAAGCTGCTCAGCCCCAACGACACCATCCGCTGCAAGGCCGCCCGCACGCTCATCGCCGTCAGGTGAGGCCAGCCGGGCGGACAGGAGGGAGCGGGCAGGACAGGAGGGAGCAGGTGGGCAGGTGGCAGCCCTGGCTGGCCTCACAGCGGGTTCAGGAGCTCTGTGCCACCCCCTCCCCTGGGAGACAAGCAGCACATCAGTGGGGAGATGTCCTGGTGTTGCAGCATTGAGGGAGGAGTGCTTCTGGCAGAGCGGTCAGGGGCAGGGTGCTGCTCCCCATCTCACAGCACTCAGTACCTCCCCATGGAGGCCAGTGGGCGAGCTCTCCGGAGTCCACCACGTTCATCTTCACAGCATCCTGTGATGCCAGGGTTGAAAGTGACCAAAAAGCCCGGCCGGCATGGCTCAGGGTTTGAGCGTGGACCTGGGAACCAGGAGGTCACGGTTCCATTCCCGGTCAGGGCACAGGCCCGGGCTGTGGGCTCCATCCCCAGCAGGGACATGCAGGAGGCCGCCGATCCGTGGTTCTCTCTCGTCATGGATGTTTCTCTCTCTCCTCCCTTCTTCTTGGAAATGAATAAAAACACATATTTTAAAAAGTGACCTGAGGCGGCTGCTGTTTTCGCAGCTTCGGTCCTGGCAGCCGGGCGTCTTACAGAGACAGGAGGAGTCTCCCTGTGATTCCTTAGAGCAGTGGTTGGCAAACTCAAGCCACATGCACCACGGCCTGGGCGAGTCTATGTTGAAGAAGTGGCGTTCGAAGTTTAAATTTAAAAGACGTGGCTCTCCGGAGAAATGTCAGGTGCGGTGCTGTTGGCGTTTGGCTCTGTGGACCAACGAGTTTGCCGACCACGGCCTTAGGGCAAGGCTCCGTCGCCCCTGGCTCCGGGTGGCCTCACCTGTAGCGGCCCCTGGCCGGGCGCCCCCATGGTCCGGGCGTGGGACTGAGGCTCAGCTTCCCGTCCACTGTCCCTTGGCCACCGGGGCCCGGGCCTGACCTCAGGGATGGTCCGAGCACAAGTCCTGCCTCTGGTGTCCCTGTGGCAGGTCCCAGCCCTGCTCCCAGGCTCCGCCCAGCAGACCCTGACGCTCCCCTCTCTGCCCAGCATCCCCCTGGAGGGCAAGAAGCAGATGTGGCGGTATGACGTCATCCCCCTCCTGGTGCACCTGCTGCAGGACTCGGTGGAGGAGGTGAAGGCCAACGCCGCCGGCGCCCTCATGTACGCCACCGTGACCACGGAAGGTGAGGGCCGGCTGGGGCCCAGGGGGCGGGAGGGGGCCGGGGTGTTGGGGTCACCACAGCCTGCCAGCGTGTTGGCTACCCGCCCAGCTTTTAAGTTTTATTTCAGAAAGAAATGGAGAGGGAGAGAGGGAGAGAGGGAGAGAGGGAGAGAGGGAGAGAGGGAGAGAGGGAGGGAGGGAGGGAGAGAGAGAGGGAGGGAGAGAAACACCAGTGATGAGTCATTGATCGGCTGCCTCCTGCACGCCCCTTACTGGGGATCGAGCCCACAACTAGGAACTGGCGATCTCTTGGTTCCTAGGTCGACGCTCAACCACTGAGCCCCACCCAGCAGGGCTGGATGTTGTTAGGAGGCCCTTGTGTTGCCTTGTAAGGGTGGGGTTGAGGGGCAGCTGCCAGGATGGAAGGGGAGAAGCCAGTTAGGGGGCTGGAGGGGCAGCAGAGGACGGGGCCAGACTGGGCTGGAGGCGGAGGGGGTGCAGGGGCCTGCGCGGGGGTGGATGAGGGAGCTCCGGCAGTAGCAGGTGGCACCTCCCTTAGGACAGCAGGCCGAGGCTGGGGGAGGCCTGGGGGGGAGGAGAGGAGGTGGGCAGAGGCCCCCGCCGAACGCCTGGTGCTGGTCGCCCGCAGGCAAGTACGCGGCCCTGGACGCGGAGGCCATCCAGCCGCTGCTGGGCCTGCTGCTCTCGCCCCTGCAGAAGGCCCGCCTGAACGCCATCAAGGCCCTCACCATGCTGGCCGAGGCCCCCGAGGGCCGCAGGATGCTGAAGGCCAACGTGCACAACTTCCGGGCCCTGGAGAGGGACCCCAGCGAGGCCGTGCAGCGGGCCGCCCGGGTGGCCATCAAGGTCATCGAGTGGAAGCCCTGAGCCTCCCGCGGCCGGACCTGAGTAAATGGCCGCATCGTCGTCTCCCGGGTCTGCCTGTCGTTTATGTTCACGGAGCCTGGTCATCCTTGCCCTACTCCCCTTCCCGCCTCTCTCCGGCCCAGGCCAGCGTGCAGGAGGCCTAGGAGGCAGCGCAGGCTGAACCCAGGGCCCAGGGCCAGGGGGAGGCAGCGCTGCTCGCCCAGCGGCCACGCTCCCCGTGGGACAGGGCGCCCCTGGCTCCTGGGTGCCCATGCCCGGGTCCACACCAGCCGAGCCAGCTTTCCCGAGGGAGCGCCCGGCTGTCCTCGGCGACCGGGCCCCTTCCCCAGAGGAAACAGATCCTGTCCCTGGGACTAGAGGACCAGCCTGAACAGGTCCAAGAGGGCGGATTTGCGTGCTAAAAAAAAATAAATAATAAATTTAAAAAAAGTTGACTTCAGAGAGGGAGGGAGAGAACCATCAATGATGAGAATCATGCATGGCTGCCTCCTGCACTCCCTACTGAGGATCGAGTCTGCAACCTGGGCCTGTGCCCTGACCGGAAGTGAACTGTGACCCCTGCTTCTTAGGTCTACACTCAACCATTGAGCCACTGAGCCCAGCTGGGTCAGGTGAAAGCTCATTCCCAAGAAAAGGTGCCGTGAGGGGAGACCTGTTTAGGGAAACAGGAGTGCCGGCCAGGGCTCCTGTTCCTCATGCTCCATCTGGCCTCAGCCACAGCCTCCCCAGGGATTTCTCCCCCCTCCCCCAAGGGCGCTGCCTCCCGCTGCCAGGACCCGTGCTCTGGGGACAGACAGGTGCCCTGGCCCAGCCGTGGAGCTGCCCCTCCCGAGGCCGGCTCTGCCCGGTGGAGTCCTCTGGGGTTGAGGGTTCCGGTGTTTCTCACAGCTGTCCTCTAGGCCCGTCTTCTCCCTCCACCCACCCAGGTCGCCGGCCGGACCTGGGCCTCCTCTCCTAGGCCCCTGCTCGGCTGGCCTGCCTGCTCCTCCCCAGGCTGCTCCTGCTGCCACCCCTCACCGGCCTCCTCCTCCGGTTCTGGGAGGCCCTCACTGACCTGAGGTGAGGCGGGTGCCCAGCGGGGCGCTCCTGAGCGTACAGTGCGGGGAGGGCCAGCGAGGCCTGGGTGTCGGCATTCTGCTCCAGGCCTCACCCCACTCCCTACGAGGGTCCCTTGCTGAGCCCCGGTGTCCTCCTGTGCAATGTGGCTAATCCTCCTTTCCCACAGGGTGCTTCTGCGGCTGTGTCCTGTCCTCGCCCAGGTGGGCAGCACAGGCACGAGCAGCGCTGGCAGCCGTTTAGGTGGCAGGGGCCTGGCTGCAGGCCTTCTGTGACCCTCCGTCCACTGGTGTCCCCCAGGCCACGTGCTCTGCTCATGCTGTTCTCTTGCAGCATCTGGCCTATCGCAGGAACTCAAAAATGGCAGCTCAAGAATTAAAGGAGGGCTCAGTGGATAGAGCTTTGGCCGGCAGACGGAAGGGTCCTGGGTTTGATTCTGGTCAGGGCACCTGCCGGGTTGCGGGCTCGATCCCCAGGAGGGAGTGCGCAGAAGGCAGCCGACCCATGGCTCTGTCATCCGTGATGTTTCCCTCCTTCCCTCTCGGGAACCAATAAAAAATGAGACTGAGCCTGGGGACCAGCAGCTGCCTCTGGTGCCCCTCGGGGTGTGATGGCGGCGTCTCCCCAATCACTTCAAGCTCTGCTGCCCCTAAAGGCGCAAACCCTTTACTCAGGTCTGAGGATGAGGAGGGGGCCTGCAGGCTCGCCGCCAGGAGGGCCTGTGTCACCGCTCAAGGGGCTCTCCCCTGGACCCAACCCCAACAACATCCCAAGGGCGGCAGCTGGGAGGGGCTGGGCAGGGCCTGGCAAGGATGGCACCGCAGCTCAGCAGGTGCGGAGGGGGAGGGGAACCTGTTTGCTGGGATGGAGGCTGCCTCAGCCCCTCCCTGGCCCAGCAGGAGCCCACATTCCCATCCACAGGCAGATGCGCTCCAGCAGGACTGCGTGGTCATCCATGGGTACACCTGTGGCAGGAGCCCAGCATGGGGGTGCTCACACCACACAGCGCGGGGGTGCTCACACCACACAGCGTGGGGGTGCTCACACCACACAGCATGGGGGTGCTCACACCACACAGCGCGGGGGGGGGGGTGCTCACACCACACAGCGCGGGGGGGGGGGGGCTCACACCCCACAGCGCGGGGGGGGGGGGGTGCTCACACCACAGCACAGGGGGTGCTCACACCACACAGCGCGGGGGTGCTCACACCACACAGCACGGGGGGGGGGGTGCTCACACCACACAGCACGGGGGGGGGGTGTGCTCACACCACACAGCGCGGGGGGGGGGGGTGTGCTCACACCACACAGCACGGGGGGGGGGGTGCTCACACCACACAGCGCGGGGGGGGGGTGCTCACACCACACAGCACGGGGGGGGGGGTGCTCACACCACACAGCGTGGGGGGGGGTGTGCTCACACCACACAGCGCGGGGGGGGGGGTGCCCACACCACACAGCACGGGGGGGGGGTGCTCACACCACACAGCGTGGGGGGGGGGGTGCTCACACCACACAGCACGGGGGTGCTCACACCACACAGCACGGGGGGGGGTGTGCTCACACCACACAGCACGGGGGGGGGGTGCTCACACCACACAGCGCGGGGGGGGGGGGTGCTCACACCACACAGCACGGGGGGGGGGGTGTGCTCACACCACACAGCGCGGGGGTGCTCACACCACACAGCGCGGGGGTGCTCACACCACACAGCGCGGGGGGGGGGGGGGGGTTGCTCACACCACACAATACGGGGGTGCTCACACCACAGCGCGGGGGGGCGGGGGGGTGCTCACACACACAGCGTCTTTGCTCGCAGGGCCGCACATCTAAACAGGAGGAGAAGACAGGAAGTGGCGGTCGGGCACAGGAAGGACATGGTGACAGTAAAATAAACATAAGCAAAACCCCAACACATGTAGCGACGAACGGCCAGAATAACTCGAAGTGAAGTCAGTGTTTATGGGGAGAGCCATGGGGAGCGAGTCCTGTCGTCACGGGGCAGACGCTCTCGCCGGCGGCCCCGCACCTGGCGGGCTCCGCTGTCCCCGAGGATGCAGCCTGCGGCTGGTGGCACCTGCTGCTGACTAGTGACCCGGGGCCCACCCCGAGGGCCTCTCCCCGCGAGGGCACTGCTGCTGGCCGTCAGTGGTAGAGCGTGTGGAGCAGGGCCGTGATCAGGAGCAGGAAGAACCCGCTGGCATCGGCAACTTTCCCCCAGAACGGCGGCTCTGGCGCCTCCAGCGGCTTCGTGCCTTCCGGTGAGTCGCTCTGCTCCGGCTCTTCAGACATGGGCCCGGGCTCCTCGGTCTGCTCTTCCGGGGCCACCTTGGGGGTCGGCCTCGGCTCCAGGCCACAGTATATGTCCAAGGCATTCCAGAAGCAGCCCTCGCTCCCCTTTCTTATCCCTGGAACAGAGGACAAAGGTCAGGAGGCGCAGGCGTAAACACGCTGTAGGGGGTCCCATCTCAGCCTTGCTCTGATGTGAAGAACAGCCTCCGGCCCCTGCTGAGGGACCTCCCACCACCTGAGACGGGGAGAGGGGACGAGGTGGAGGGGAGCATGTGGGGGCAGTGGGCCGCCTGGGCCACGCTTCCCGTCTACGGGCGGAGCCTTCGGCTGGGCCCAGGGCCCCGGACTGGGTGGCGGAGGTCAGGGGCCTCCGCTGGCAGAGCAGGCTGAGCCAGGTTGGCTCAACATGCCCACACTCCTGTCGGGCCACGCAGCCCAGCGCAGCTCTGCAGGCCGAGGCCCTGCCCGCGGGCGGAGACGGCTGCCGACTCCTCAGACACACACGGCCGCCTTTGCAGCGCCTCCGCAGGAGCGTCTGGGCCCAGGAGGGGCTCTGCAGGCCTGGGGAGGAGGGGGAGTGAGTGGTGTCTCCCAGGAGGCACGGGGGAGGGCTAAGGATTACAGGAGATTTCAGGAGGCCGACGCTGTGTAAACGCCTCGCTCTGGGGCTTACACTTGGCCCCTGTCAGCACAGCGCGTGTCGGCGCGGTCAGCACCACGGCCAGCGCCGGCGCGGCCCTGACCGGGCCGCCTCCTCCTTGGTGACAAGCTGGGTTCCGTGGGACGGATGCCAGCAGTGATGCCCAGCACGTGCCGGAACGCGCCTCCACGCCGGCTGCTCCTGAGGCCGAGGTGGCACCAGGAGTGTGGAACCCATGGCCAGGGACGGAGGAGGGCTACAGGGGGAGGTGGCTGCAGGAGGACCTGGCCGGGGACAGCGGCGTCTGCTGTGGTGCTGAGAGGCCATCACCCCGCCCGCGGCTGCCAGGCCCAAAGGGGGGCGCATGTGGAGGGCGACCGGTCGCTCCACGACAGCCGCAGAGCAGCAGGATGGGCCAGTGGCCAAGGGCACACACTTTGGAGTCCGGCTGCCTGGGTCTGATCCCAGGTCCGCCACTGCCCAGTCCTCTGTGGACCCTGGGCAAGTCATTCACTGTTCAGTGCCTCAGTCTCCCCATCGGTAAAGTGACAATGGTACTTCTCACGTATGGGCATAATTGTGACAGCGCTGGCACGTCCCAATGGGTGGTCAATGTGAGCCACTGTCACCACCACCCATGACAGCGGGACGGGGAGAGAGGAATGGAGAGGGTCCAGGAGCACCTGGCACCCTGTGGGTACAGCGAGCCATCCCCCATCAGAGAAATGCCCAGGGAGCCTGCACCCTCGGATGATGGGTGGCCTTGCTTATGGAGTCACCCCCCACCCCACTGGCCGGGCAGAAGTCCCAGGAGCCCACCCACCCAGGTCTCCTCGGGCACTGCCTTCCCTGGCAGCCTCTTCCCTCCCCGTCTCTCCCTCCCTCCCTCCCTCCCCGAGTCTCACAGCCCCCCCCCCCCGCACCTCCCCCCGCACCCCAGCCTGGACTCAGGGTAATCTCCTTAGGCCTCATCCTGCTGCGTCAGGGTCCGAGAAGCTCAGGCATCGTCCTTTCCTGACCTGACCTGCTAGGACCTTCCCCTGGGCCCGCA